TTAGGATTAGGTTTAGGAGGGTTAGGTTTAGGTTTAGGGGTTAGGTTAAGGGTTAGGTTTAGGGTTAGGTTTAGGGTTAGGTTAAGGGTTAGGTTTAGGGTTAGGTTTAGGATTAGGTTTAGGGGGTTAGGGTTAGGGTTAGAGTTAGGGTTAGGGTTAGGGTTAGGGTTAGCTGCTTGACCATTGATAGCCGGATGCCCTGGCATTGACAAGTCATGGCAGATTCCTTGCTCTGCTAAGAAGATCTCAAATTGATTTGCTGTGAATTGTGGCCCATTGTTTGACACTATAATGTTCAGCAGGCCATATGTGGAGAAGAATTTTCTCAAAACCCTAATGACTGCTTCAGCTGTGGTATTAATGATGATTGCTACTTTGAGCCACTTAGAATAGGCATCTACCATGATGAGGAAAGTTTGTCCCTGAAATGGCCCTGCAAAATCTATATGTATTCATGCCGGTCCCACAGTACTGTGCTGTAAGGACCTCCCATTCATGTGTGGGTGCAACAGGTAGTGCTGGTCTAGATTCATGGCAAGGCATGCATGTTGCAACCCATTTGTCTATCTCCTTATCCATCCTGGGCCAACAAACATAACTCCTAACTAATGCTTTCATTCTAACCATGCAAGGATGACCCATGTGTATTGCCTCTAGTATGGATTCCCTTAATATTTGTGGTATCGCAACTCTATCACCCCATAGGAAACATCCTTTAAGGTGGACAATTCCAATTTCTGACTTTGAATGGCTTGAATTCACTTCCTATTGTTCCTTCTACCCCCCCCCCCCACACCCAGTTTAAAATTTGTGCCAAAATTCTATCCTTGGCTGTTTGCCTCCTGATTTTGGCCACTGTCATGGGAGCGGTCACAAAGTCTTTGATTAACAGGATGGATGTGGCTGGTGCTGGGTCTTTAACAAGGTCTGGAAAAGGGCATTGATTGAGGGTGTCCCATGATCAATGGTTTTGCCCGGCCGATGGATGAGGCAATAGTTATAAGCGGCTAGCAAAACAGTTCACCTGGTCATTTTGGGTGACAATATGTTTGTGGTTGGTTTCCTGCGAGTAGCAGTTTGTGATCTGTGATTAATTCGAACTCCCTTCTATATAGATACTTGTGGAGATGCTTGACCCTTGCTACTGCAGCCAGCACTTCCTTATCCAGCTGGCTGTAGTTTCATTAGGTTTTTGACAACATCTTTGAGTAAAAGGTGATTGACACCTTACTGGCTGCCAAACAGTAACGTTTGGCAGCCAGTGGCTAAGGACAGCTCTAATGCCAAAAGGGGAAGCATCACAGGTTAATGTGAGGGGTAAGATTTCATTGAATTGTATAAGAATGCAATTTGATGTTAAAAATTCCTTTATGGCTTTGAAGGCAGATGCTTCTTTATGTCCCCAGATCCACTCTGTCTTTTTATTCAATAACTGGTGAAGCGGTTCAGCGACTGTTGCCTTCTGTGGCAGGAAAATGCTGTAAAAGTTCAACAAGCCTAGGAATGCTTGAAGTTCTGTTTTATTGGTTGGAGTGGGGGCTTCTTGACTTGCCTTTATTTTATTGTTTGTGGGATGAATGCCCGACTCAACAATTAAATATCCCAAAAATTCAACTTGGGATATGGCTATCTGGCATTTTTCTTTCTTCACCTTAAGCCCTGCTTCCTGAAACTGACTCAGGACTATCCATAATCACTGGATTAATTGTTCCTTGTCTTTTGCTGCCATGAGGACATCATCAAAATAAGGCACCACCCCCTGAATGCCCTGAACAAGGCACTCCATTAGGCTTTGGAAAAGTCCTGGGGCCATGCTTATCTCAAATGGCAATCTCTGGCATTTAAATACCCCTGTGTGTGTTACAATTGTTTGTGCCTCTGCCGTGGCATTGTCAACAAGCAACTACTTGGGCGACATCAAGTTTGGCAAAGATTTTTCCCTTGCCCTGAGAGTGCAACAGGTGTTGTACCACTGGGCACAGGATATGCACTCTGTTGCAATGCATTATTGGCTGTACATTTATAGTCAGCACAGAAATGAACTGAGCCATCTGGCTTGATTGGTGTGATAATTGGTGCCTCCCACTTTGCGTGATCAACTGCCTCCAAAACCTCTGTGCAATTAGTTTGTCTAATTCAGTGGTAGTCAACCTGGTCCCTACCACCTACTTGTAGGCGTTCCAGCTTTTATGGTGGGCGTTAGGGATTTTGTCCGATACTGAAGCACTTTCCTTTTTTTAATTTAATTGACTTCCCTACCTTATAAATCATCATTACTGTGGAACCGGTGGATGGTTAGAAAATTTTACTACTAACAGAGATACAAAAGTGGGCAGTAGGTATAAAAAGATTGACTACCACTGATCTAATTGCTCATCTATTTTGGGGCAGAGAACAAAAGGGACTCTTTGTGGTTTCAGTCTGACAGGGGCTACTTGGGGGTCTAGGTTAAATGTAATAGGGGTCCCCCTATACTTGCCTAGGCTTTCATTGAAGACGTCACTGAATTCTGTTATCATAGGCTCTATGTCATCCTATTGGATAGTATTGATGCCAGTCAGTCCCAAACCCAGGGCATTGAACCACTCCAACCCGATCAGGCTGGGAAGGTCTTTGTTCACTATGGTCAGCAGTAGTGGCCCCTCAAATTGTTTGAATTGTATTTGGAAGAGCCCACACTGGGATGCATTTCCCTTGTTGGTCTTTTAAAAGAATCTTCTGCAGTTTTAGCTGCTTTCTGGTGAAACTCGGAATCATTTTTTTATTTAATTTTTTATTTATTTATGCAAAATACATACACACAAAACTTAGATGTACACCACATTTACACAATACGATACAAACAGGAACTTCCTATTCTTTCTAATAGCAATTGCCAATCGATACCATTCTCCTTATATTATTTTCCCTTCT